CTTGTAATTAAGTTTAAACTCAAGCAAGTACTTAGCATCAAATCACACGCACAACACACACAGGTACTGTCTGATCAAAGATCAGCTTCCTATTCATTCACCAATTAACATGCTGACCCCAAATCAAGAGCCTATCTTGAATCAATTAAACAGAATATTCAAAATTAACTTGCCTCCCCCTCTGAAATTTCCACCACGCATGTTGAATCCTCCACGTCCTCTATGGCCACCACCTCTGTTAAACTGGTTTTTACCACTCTTGTTTTTATTGCTCTTCTTTGAGCCAGTGTTTTGTTTCTTTTCTGGGGGAAGAGCCTTTTTGCTTTCTTCCTTATACTGCTCCAGAAGTTTCTGAGCTTCCTCTTTCTGGAGTTCAACATATGTTATTTCATCAAAGCACTCAGCCACTTCTGGTAGCGTGAAATTTCCTTTCATTTTGAGAACTGCATGCTCTGGAAGGTCTTTGCCCTCTACTTCTGCTTTCTTCTGTGTTCTCTGCTTATAGTCCTCGTCTTTCGGGCACACAACAACAGCTTTTCGTTGAAAGCCTGCAAACAGGCACATTTTTCTCCTCTGGGCAGCAGCAGACACATTTGTCTTAAAAGGAAAAAACCCATTTGACATTAAGTATGTTGCAATAAAGTGCTTCTCTAAAGTAATTGTACATTACATCTTAATTTTTTTTAAAAAGTGACTCAAAACCAGTTGTCAGTTTAAACTTTTAACATAATAAACAGTAATTTATATGTAATCTATACTATGCACATGGTTTTTAAACTTTGAAACCACAGCATACCTGATCCAGAATGAAATTTCTCTTTTTGCGGGCTGCAATCTCAATAAATTTCCCCAGACACTGTGGAGCTCTCTGCAACAGGGTGTTCAATTTTCCAGTATCTGCCATTTGCTTCTTAAAACCTGCCACCATCATTTTATCCATAATGGTATTTGTCCCAAGAATGTTGTATTTACCAGGATTTTCTGCCGCATGTTTAGTAACCCAGGTGGTTTTTCCTGCACCTGGCAAGCCAATCATCATTACAACCTATAATAAAAAGTAGTATTATTGCACCAACTATATTAAAAAACCAAACCAAAACTCCAGAATTCTCAAGGATGTGTTATCTAAAAGGAGGCTCTCTAACAGAATAAAGACTTTGAATCCAACTTTTTATTAGCAGAAACACTACACCACCATATTATAGGCCATGTTAACTATTTAACAGATCTGCTGGCCTAATAAGGAATTCTTCTCCTAATTCAAGAATAAAAGTTTCAAATCCACCAGTCCTCACTGAGAAAAAGATGGGCAACAGCCCTCATGAAATTTACAGCCTCTGAAACCTGTGGCTCTAGTTCAACAGCACGTAACAGTTTAGGAGTCCTAAGGGCCAAGTGGTCAACGTGTCTACTCATCAGAACCAACATCTCTACTTCCGTAAATATTTAAGCTAGGGAAATCGTACAATAGTCATTGAGCTGACAAGACTACTCAAAATTCATTTCAGAGATAAAGTTTAAATATTTTAAAGGCCACAGCCAGACCAAGTTTCTTCCTTTTGCCCACTAAAAGCACTTGTATGCTGTGTAGCAACGCACACAGGAAGTTATAAATCTGTTGAGAAGACGGGTGTGTGGAGATTATGTTGTGTGTGTCTGTGTATATATATGTAGAAATAAAATCCAATTCTGCTAAACGTCTTCTTTACAAAGTAAAATAAATGCTACAATCAAAACAGTGACCTACTTCACAATCTTTCTTCTCTTCAGGCCCTTTTGGTCCTCTGACGCGATCCTCAAGGGGGACATTCTGGATAAAAGTATACTCTTCCGGTATTGGAAAATATGGCTTTTCCTTCTGACCAAAGTTAAATTCAACTGCACAGTTGTGGCAAAGAACATGTGGAAAGAGTGGTCGTCCAGCAAGAACTTCCTTACTGATTTTGAAAGCAACACCAAGATCTTGTCCATTCTTAGCATAGGAGAGCTCAACTTCATCACTTTCAAAATTCTGTTAAATAGAAAATGTTTTAATCTAATATTCCCATAAACTTTCTAATACTCCAATATGTAAACTCTTAGCAATCTCTACGTCCTGAGGAAATATACTAAGAACTTTCTAAAAATTATACACAATGAAATATATGAAACAATGTCATAGAAAATGGACTATCATTTTCAATCAACTTCCTGTTTATTAGCCTTGACTATTCAATTGATTTTGTCCCTTAACGTCATTCTGGAAACCCGTTTCTGTAAACTTTCATTGAAATTAATTTTTTAAGAAAAAATCTACCACTTTTTTTAAGCTTCACCATCCATTTACATAAATGGTGGTCACTGTTAGCAGTTAGTAACTTGAAAAAACTCCTTTCAAATTAAGAGACTAGAAAATAATCTAATCATGTCTTACAGCAAAACATGTTATCACATCGTTTTCATCAAACTTCTCTCCATAATCTTCAGTCTCACAGTTGCAAGTTTTTATTCCTTTCAAAGAATACCCGTAAGAAAACTCTTCTTCACCTTTAAAGAAACAAAACAAAAAACTATTAAGTCTAGTCTCCAAAACAAAATCAGTCCAATCAAAACTGACACTAGAATGCATACTATTCTTTATCACTGTTGCACTAAACTAATATTCTTCATTGACGTTCTGATGCCCTAAAATGTGGTAAAAGAATTGATGAGTTAGGTATATATAGTTAGCTGGAAATTTAAGTTGTTATATTTTAATCAGGGATCATGACACCAAAGTAAACAGAGGACCTTTAACTCCCATCTTTACATTAAACATTCACAGAAACCCCAGCTTCAAACTTACCAAGTAGCATTCCACTTGTAGTTAGCGACCAGCCAATCCGAACTTCATGTATATCAATATCTTTTGTGTATAAATGCCTTACTGGGATCTTCTCTGTAACCTGAAAATTAGATACCATTAAAACGATGGAAGGCAATGCCAAATTCTCATTTCATTTGATCCAAAGGCTAATACTGCCCTGGTTACCACTAAAATACAAGAGCTACACAAGTGCTTTTCATTAACTTTAAATTTATCTTTTTAAGAACAAAAAGTGAGGCAAATACTAAGTCACATCATATTTGAAGAAAACAAATTTTTTTTTAAAAAAAAGTTTTCAATTACCAACTTGGTATTATATCAAGAGAAATAATATGCTTAGTTTCCTCTTCCTAAAAAACTCCAGAAATCTGTTTTCTTTAATCCTGTGTGGGCTGATCATAAATCCTAAATGAATGGCTGATTCCATCAAACTCTCCTTATTGTTCTAACATGTGTACATAATGTGCTTCTATGAGACAAATAAGAGTTCTTTTAAATACTAAAAAGAAGAGCATTTACCTTCATTTCAAAACAGACTTTGCCTTTTGCAACCCCATAAGAAGCTCTTCCTCCAGCCCAGAGAAATGCAAAACTCTCCATAGTAAGGGAAGAAGCACTAAGGCGATCCCGGGATATTTTGAAATGTAGATCACAGTTATCTGCAATTACATCAAATACCACATTACGTTCCTAACACCAGTGCAAACATAACACATTCGCTATACAGACAAAACGTGGTTATTAGTTTGTTATGTCTGACACTGTATAAACGTCCTTACTTTCCCATGTCATGCTGTTTGGTCTAATTTTAACTCAAACCCCACTCCCACCAGACACTCATACCCAATTATCAATTTAAGTATAAACTGTATAAAATAATGCACGGTTTAAACCTTTTCAAGCGTGGAATCAAGACAATGACATTCATACATACCTGCTCTGCTCTTTACCTTGTTATAGATAGAGGCAAGCAGTAAAGGATAGGAGGAAATCAAAGTGAAGCATGCCAGAACCAGGTTGGATTTACCAGCCACACGATAAAAAACTGAAGGCCATGGCCAAGTATTTTTAACACAAGCATGAGCTTTTTAACTTAGGACTCTGGGTCCCAAAACTCTTAAAACTCAGGAAAAGGTATCCTAAATCTACATACTATTAATGCTGGTCTAATGGTCAGTATTATAGCCCCTTTCTGAAGGCTTGTCTATTTGTCATTAACCGTGATTGGGATTACCCACTTCCTGAATCACCCAAATATAAAGCTTCTTTAACTGAGCCATCTTTTGTGGGTCATGGACTCATTAGCCCTTCTACTCAAGTTCAAAACTGAGAACTAACATGAGTCAGAGAAAGGCTTTACATGTTTACGAACATTCAGGTTGCAGTTTCTAATTCTCATATATAACTAGCTTTGTCTCTAAAACTCATTATCAGACAAATCTTTACCAATGTACAACTTGTTTGAACAAATACTGCACACTTTGTCTTGAAAAATCTATTTGCTAGCTTCCCCTCATTTTCTTGGGGAGAGGAGGGTGAGGTCCATACCTTTGGGGATGTACCCATCTAACCAATCATTACTATGCTACTCTCAGAAAATCCCACACCTATTTGTCTTACCATACTTGTGTTCTTCTAATACTCCTCTTAGGGTGTTAATTTCTAGCAACTTTTACATTTAATTAACTTTACAACATCAAAAACGTTCACTTAAATATCTCAACGTATCCGAGCTCCTTGCTTTTACATTACATTGTCTGAAGTTTTATTAAACACATTTTAAAATCTGTGAGAACCTTCAGTAAGCTCCAGAAAAAAATCTTTTATCTATTGGGCAGGTGGACCTATGCTCTGTCCTACTTAACTTAAAGCTTTGTGTTTTTATCAACTGTTAAATCAACTTGATTTTTACTATAAGTCTGAGTGTGACAGCCAAGGCCCATTTGGAGGTTTGCAATGCTTCCTCATACTTCAATTGCAACCCAACTGGGTAATGTAGCCGTGTTTACAGTGCTGCCATTGATACCATTCGCTGCTGAAGAAACTAGTAGCCCAGTGATAGCCCTCTGCTGCTGCCCCAGGTCTTTGGAAGATACCAACTTATGTTAAAGCAGCAGCTACTGAACTGGAATTGAGAACAAAAGAGCAGTTATTGAAAAGTGTTATTACAATCTTTTGTTAGAATAGGGAAAATACTTGTGCACTAAGAGATAAAATGATTTAATACATATTCAGCCCAAGTAGCTCGCTTTATAGAATTCTACAAAAACTGAAATTACTCCATCAGAGAAACCTATAGGACAAATAAAGGGAAATCTTACATTTTTCCATTTTATTAATCAAGTCGGCATTAACGTATAAGAATTACTAAGTTGCTAGAGCCTGTTAAATTACTAATTCAGCTGGAGGAAGCTACCTAAATACTTAGGTACACCCAGGGTGAATACAAATACCTTACTAAATTAACAAAAGGGTTTTCGGCCTTTCGCTGTTTTTCTGTAATCAACAGTACAGCATTACCCTTTCTACCAATCTGGAACCAAAATCGCATTACACCAGGAGATAAAGTATTACTTACAAGTATCAAGACAAACCACCGTGTCATCAAAATGCTCATCTTCCTCTTCAACAGGGGGCTGCGGAGACTTGGCTCTGAAAGAGACAATTGTTTCCCGATTCGGCTTTTCGCCACCAGCGAGTGAAAGGGGGGGGGGGGGCGCCAGCACAACTGGGTTAGCGTCCTCTACCTGCTGTACTTGTTCTCTTCGATGTACTCAAAATAGCCCCGACCGTGATCCTCTCGAGGTCTTTTCACACCTCTCTTTTTATCTCCGCCTTTCTGTTCTGTTTTCCCGTCTCCTACAATACACACAAAACCCTAAGAGGTCATGTCGGAAAACCAAGGGGACACGTTTCCATATGGAGGCTTAAAAAACACCGACTCTGTTTTCTTTTTAACAAGGGTAAAAACTCGAAAAGCATCGACCGCGACTGCAAATAATGATGTTGGCAAAGGCTCAGCGCCCGTGACGCAGCCCCGAGATGGCTCCTTCCGCCGCCGGCTCGATGATTCGAGAAGGCGCGACACAGCGCGGTGCAAGCCCAGAGCCCACGTGCAGCCCGGAGCGCGGGGGAGGGGCGGCCGCGCGGCCTCCCCGCCCCCACCCGGCCCGCGCTCCGCATTGTACCAGCCTTCCGCCCGGTCGGCGGAAGTGACGTCACGCCCGCCAGCGCCGCTTGCACAATACCGCGGCCTGCTGCCGCCCCGGGCCCTCGCCCCTCCCCCGGGACATGTGCCCGCACCGCGTACACGCAGCCCCGCCATGCCATCGGGGCGACCTGGAGCTCTCGGGCCTCTCCCCTAATCCCCACTGCAGTTCAAGCGCCCGACAGGGTCTGCACCGGGCGGCGACGCCATCGAGGGGACCTGGGATCCTCCCCTCCCCTCCCTTCCGAATAGAGCTCGCACCGCGCAGACGCAGTGCCGCCATCGGCGGGACCTCGACTCTCCCCTCCCCCCGCCCGACACATGCCCCCCCACACACACGGAGCGACGCCATCGGGGAACCCTCGGCCTTGGGGTCTCTCCTTTGCTCCCCTCCAGAACATATGCCCCCCGCCGCGCATACGCAGCTGGCGAGACCGTGACGTGGGGTCCCGCCGACCCCCTCCCCCTCCGAGATCCGCGCCCGCATCGTGGCGACGCCATCGGGCCGCGGGGGGTTTCAGCGGCCCCCGTTACACCTGCGTCCGCCGGCCGATCCGCACCCCCCCGCAGCTCCGTTGGCTCGCAACCACATAAAGGAGGCGCCGCCATCCCCACCCGGGATTCCCCGCACCCCCTCCTCCCGGGGGGCTCCGGCAGGCTCGGGCACGATCCCCCCACCGCGCAACGTCCCACGCAGCACTCACCCGCCGCCGGAGCCCCGGGGCGACCGCCGCCTCCGCCGCCTTCCGCCTTCTTCTTACCTCCCGCCTGCTGGCCCTGCCGCGACCCGGGCGGCGCCACCGTCACCGCGAGCAGCGAGGTGGGGCCGCCGCTCTTGGCTGCCGCCTCCTTGGCGGCCCCGCGCTGAGCCGCCGCCGGCTGCTGCTGCTGCGGCGTCGCCGGCGGTTGCGCCTGCTGCTCGCCGTGGCCGTTCTGGTCGCCCGCGCCTTCCTCCTCGTCGCCGAGTTCATCCTCCCCCTCCTGGAAGCCCTGATCGTCGCCGTTCTCGTCCTCCGAGGCGGCCTCCTCCATCCGGCCCGAGCCGGCCGCCCCCGCGGCCCCGTTCTCCTCCCCTAGCTCCATCTGGTCGCCGTCCAGGGCCGAGTTGCCCTCCTCCTCCTCTTCCTCCTCCTCCTCGTCGTCGTCGCCGCCGCCGGCGGCCTCCTGCTCGAGGCCCGCGCCCGAGCGCCCGGCCGAATCCCCGCCCAGGTCGAGGCTGCCGTTCCCGGGCTCCATGGCGGGGCGGCCGGCCTGCTCGTCGTCCAGCGCGGCCTGGAGGCGCTCCATGAGCTCGGCCTTGAGGCCCTTGTCGGAAAGGCGCCGCTTCTTGAGCTCCTCTTTCAGCTCCGGCACCTTCAGCTTTTTTACATTAACAGGCGAAGAACTCATCGTGAGGGCCCGATTCGCCACTGAGATGCTGGCTCAACGTCGGCTCCGCTCACACGGCCACTGGCTGCGGCTGGAGGTTGGTGCCTGCTACAGAGGGAACCCGCCGGGTGTCGAGGGGCGCCAATTCCTTTCACCGAGTTCGCGAGGGAGACGCGGAGACTCGCCTACAGCGAGCGAGCACGCAACGTTCTATCGTAGGGCCGCCGCGGCGCCGCGCACGTACTCTGCTCGCCCCGCCCCCGCGCCGTGCCCGCCCTATGTACTGGCGCCGCGCACGTACTCTGCTCGCCCCGCCCCCGCGCCGTGCCCGCCCTGTGTACTGGCGCCGCACTGAAGAGCCGGAGCGCGCCCGCGCCGAGGCCCCGCCCCTTCGCCGTAATTAGTCCCTGCCCCCACGCCGCACCCGGCTCTGCGAGCGCGGCCCGGCCCTCTCAGGGCTTGCACTGGGGGCCGAGCGAGCTAAGAAGGAGGAGTCGGGTCCTCTCCGCTTTCCGTTAAACCGACCTCCTGCAAAACCTATTGCCCTAAGGAGGAAAAAAACATCCTGTTGACCTTAGGCTTACTGATTCTCCTTTTGTGTTTACGCTGATTTTTATCTACACGGTTTCAGTCCTAACTTGGCTCTTTGCAACTCGAAAAAAACCCACCCTTCTGTTCATCTTAGATTGGCATTCTGTTTACATAGCCCCTGCTGTCTGCTTAAAGCTTCCAGCTTCATTTCACTTTTGATGTCTACAACACGAATTAGCTAAATGCCTACATCCAAAGGGAGTGTTTTTGGTCTTGAGATTTGTGTTTTTAAGTTGTAAAGAGCGAGGGCTGAGCCATTCTTTTGTCTCCTCACCTCCGAAGCCGACAAGGGAGTAACTTTAAAGAACTGGCTTTACGAGTAGAATTCTTATTTGACAAACCATTCTTTGTGATATTCTGCTGTTCTCGTGTTTTTAACAGGCGGAGAAGTTTCACAAGTCGTATCAATGCTTTACTAAGGTCACCCATGAAGAACACAGATCTTCTATACTGTCCAATTTCTTTTATTCTGTCCAATTTAGAGCCTGATTGTTGGGTAACAAAGTCCCAGTAGCTAACAATGGGGATAAGAGCCAACCATGTCAGCACTTTGCTTTCTATTCCAACTCCTGTAAAAAGTCTTGACCACGTGCTAAAATTGCAGTTTGTAGCCGGTGAGAGCTACAAGCAGGAGTGGCATCCACTTCCTAACCAACATGCCTCTGGAAACTATGAACTTTGATAAATGACGAGAGTTATAGAAAGGCTTCAGGCCGTTTGTTCATAGGCATGCTTGATTATTTTTCCTCTTTATTGATGACCTTATAGTTGGTTGGTTTGTGGGGTTGTTGGTTTTGTGGTTTTTTTTAAATTAAGTCTTAGGTAAGCATACCAGAATTTAGATTTATGATGGAGGGAATATATAAAGCCACAGAGAATGTGCACAGTGGCCAACCAGTGTTCGTCCATTATGTAAGGAGACGCATTTTACCGACAAACGTTGTTTGTTGTTCATATATGAGGTCGAGTCGCCTGCGACTTAATAGCGGCCCTATGTATAACAGCCCTAAACCCTGCTCTATCCTGTGCCAATCTTACTGTCTCTGACACACCTACTGCCATTACCCTAGTCAGTGAATCAATCCATCTCATCGAGTGTCTTCCTCTCTTACGCTGTCCCTCCACCCTCTCAAGCATGATGTCCCTTCCAAGGATTGGTCAGATGGATTTCGAAATCCTTGCCTCAAAAAAGCAGCCTAGTTTCACCCTCTCCAGGATGAACCTGTTTGTTCTTTTAGCATGGTGTATTCAATACTTTTTTCCAGAACCTCAGCTCAAAGGTATCAATTCTATCATCCTTAGTCATTGTCCAGCTTTCTGACCCATATAGCAAGTAATTGCAAAAGACTATAACCTAGATCAGGCACACTTTAGTCTCCAGACTGACATCCTTACTCCTCTGTACTTTGGAGAGGTCTCTGACAGCACACTTCCCACAAAATTTACCAGTGTTAATTTTAAATTGGGATATATGAAAACATGTAGTTTCTCCCATATACTAATATGATTTAACATTTTAGTAAATCTATCTTTCAAATCTTTTATTTGGTAGCTGTCCTAGGGAGAAGGATGGGCAATCTCTCCTCCCCTGTTTTACTGCCTCTGAAAACACGCTGGAGGACTATGATTCACAGAAAGAACTATGATTCAGTTCAGAGTCTACAGTACATAACAACAAAATGCATATACTTCACCAACCTTGAATGTCTATAAAGAAATTATTAACGTTTGTGAAATTATTGAAATTGATAAACAGCACTGGATATTCTTATTTTAAGTTAACTTGAATGGTGGGCATAGCCTCCAACAGATTTCCAAACAGAGGCCAAAACTTTGGTTATAATGTCTTTAACGCTTGTTAAAGCATACAAAATGGAATTTGAAGTCTTCTCCCTTGTTCAAAAATGAGAAACTACAGAGATTTAACACAAAGCAAAATCATCAGACCCACACAGCAATTGATAGGTATCTGTTGAATTGACACCAACTCACAACAACCCTGTGAATACATGCTCTATCTGGTGCCATCTTCACTGTGCTTAATGAAGCCCATTGTTGAAGTCAGTGAGGGTCATCCTCTCCTTCTCTAACTCTCCACCTTTCCAAAAATAATGTATACTTCCCAGGACTAGCCCCTCCTGATAAAAGTATGTGAGACTAAGTCTCATCATCCTTGCCTCTACAGCACACCCAGGTTGCACTTCAAGACAAACTTGTTTATTCTTTTGGTAGTTCACAGTGTATTCAATACTCTTTGACAATACTACTATTTAAAGACATCAGTTCTTTTTCAGTCTTCATTCAACCTTCACAAGTATTTGAAGACATTGAAAACACTATGATTTGAGCCAGCCATACCTGGTCTTTAAAATGACATCCTTACACTTTAACACTTTAAAGAGTTCCTGGACAGCAGATTTGCCCAGTGCAATATGTCATTTGATTTCTTGACTTGCTGTCTGTGTGTTGACTGTGAATCCAAGTCAAATGAAATCTTTGACAATTTAAGTATTTTCTCCTTTTATCACAAGGAATTTTTTTTTCTTTAATGACTCTTAATGCGTCAGAAGTTAAGTATACTTATTATGACTTGCCTTTAAACGAAACTATCCTTAAGTATTATTTGTGTATTTAGATATTAATGGTATGAAAGGACTTCTGGTGGCAAAGTAAGTTACATGTTGGTCAGTAGGTCAAGCCCACCAGCCAGTTGCCCAGGGAAAAATGAGGCAGTCTTTTCCCTAAAAGATCTACATTCCCAGAAACCTAATAGCGAAGCTCTTGTCTGTCTGTCTCATAGGGCTGCTGTGTGTTGTAATCTACTGGATTTTAGTCAGTTTTGAATGAATGATATGGGGGAAATGTTTTGTTTTACTAGGAGGGAAACAAAATTAGAAAAACAAAATTTATATATCTAAACAGAACAGATTTAGAAGCATAACTTTGAGTGTACACTCCAAGTTTAGTCTAAAGGTGGAGCTTGGTGGCCATCTTGACTCATGTTCTTTTTACAGACAAGGAAAACTGAGGTCCCCTGTGCTCTTTTTGTTTTGTCCAGCAGCCTCAGACAGCATTTGAAAGGCTAGGTTTTTCTGAATGCTCAGAGAATCGTCATCTTATTGTTATTTTTTTACAAAAAGAAGAAACTAACCATTCTGTATTGTTTTTCTCACTGAAACTACAAATAGTGAAAAGAGTGGCTTAATCTTGCTAATAATTTTGACTTATCTTTCTTTTCTCTACTACCCTCTTTTATTGCATGTTGTTGTTGTTGTTATGTGCCATCGAGTCATTTGCAACTCATAGCGACCCTATGTACAACAGCCCTAAACCGTGCTCTATCCTGTGCCAATCTCATTGCCTCTGACAAACCCATCCCGATTACCCCAGTCACTGAATCAATCCACCTCATAGACGGTCTTCCCCTCCTGCGCTGTCCCTCCACTCTACCCAGCATGATGTCCCTCTCCAAAGATCTGTCTCTCCTTACAACATGTCCAAAGTATGTCAGACGAAGCCCCAGAATCCTTGCCTCCAAGGAGCAGCCTGGTTTAATCCTCTCTATGATGAATCTGTTTGTTTTCTTAGCAGTCCATGGTACATTCAATACTCTTCTCCAGCACCACGGCTCAAAGGCGTCAATTCTCCTTCTATCCTCCCTAGTCATTGTCCAACTCTCTGATGCATAACAAGTGATCGCAAAAACCATGGCCTGTATCAGGCGGACCTTAGTCTCCAGAGAGACACTGTTGCGATTCAGTATTTTGGAGAGGTCCCTAACCGCAGACTTTCCCATCGCAATACGTTTTTTTTATTTCCTGGCTACTGGTGCCAAGAGTGTTGACCGTGGAGCCAAGCAAACTGAAGCTGTGAACAATCTCAATCTCTTCGCCATCTATCCTGATGCTACCGATTGGTCCAGTGGTGAGAATTTTTGTCTTCTTAACATTGAGCCTCAGTCCATATTGAAGGCTGCAGTCCTTGACCCTCTGCAGTTAAGTGCATGAGGTCCTCCTCAGTTTCAGCGAGCAAGGTTGTGTCATCTGCATAATGCAGATTGTTGATAGATCATCCACTAATCCTAACGCCACGCCTCTCCTCATAGAGCCCCGCTGCTCTGCATACAGGTTGAAAAGGTATGGAGATAGGACACATCCCTGATGTACACCCTACACTTTGTTTATTTTTATAATATGCATTCTAATATGGAGCCACATCTCAAATCACTTTTTCTACTCCAGAAGATCTATGTAAATTATGTCTCTTCGTTATGAATGTTAGACTTTACAGTGTTCCTTGTCCCTAAAATCTAAAACATTTGGTTATATGATGAAAGACTACTTGCTGGTTGGTTAGGTTCTTATTTTTTTCAAAGACTTACCAAGATAATGCTGTTTAACCTAGATTAAGAGTTCAGGTTACTTATAAAT